AGCATCATATAACAACACTTCCCTTGGCCCTCACCGTCGCATTCAGACGACAGACGTACAAAAACACACAGCAATACGAGAGGAAACGAAGTGCAGCCCGCAGAGGAAGCGTCGGCCGAGGCACCGCCGTAAAACACACGCGCACAATCCTCTGCCTGCCTCGGTGACAATAACCCGAGGCAGCCATTCAGAACTATGTCGGTTGTCTTCACCGTGAGAACAATCCCGAAGGGTTAACGAGAGGGAGGGGGAGGGGAGGGGGAGGGGGGAGGGAGACGAACTTGCGTTGGTCACAGATGGTCGGGACACGAGCGTGTAGAATAGGCCAAAGTGGAAGGGGTGGAGGAAGGGGCAAGTGGGGGAGGAAAGAGGTGCGGGAGTAGGGAGGAGGGGTAGGACGGTGAGGCAGTTGAGGATCCGGGAGTGGGGAGGTAGGAGACAGGGAACGGGAAAGGGGGAGAAGGGTACAACAGTGAGGGGGAGGGGACGGAGGCAGTGAAGGCAGAGGGGAGAGGAAAGGGAATAGGGGTGGTGTGGGGGACGGGAGACGAGAGCGAATGGAGAAACGTGTGGAGATGAGGGAACGAGGAGTAGAGGGGAGAAGGGGGGAGGAGAGGAGGAAGGGAAAAGGGGGGGAGTGGTGAGTAGTTAGGAGTGGAGTAGGAGGAGGAGGAGATGCAACGGACGATCCATTTGCTGCAATAGACTGCCTTGATTTTGTTGTCTGTTGGTGTCTGTGACGGACTGGCTTCATCTCTTTCCTTCCTTTCTCATTTTCAAACTCTCTCTCTCTCTTTCTTTCTCTATTTATCTATTCCTCTATCCATCTACCAATCTATCAATCTATTTCACTTTCTCTCGTCACCCTAATATGTCAAATGGACTACAAAGCCACCAAAAGCTAGAATTAACATTGGAAGAAACAGTATTTAACATGGTCCCATCCTTCCCAAATGGTGACCAACCCGACCAGCGCCAAAATATAGTGATCAGCACCATCATCACCATCAACACTTACTGCCACGACTGTAATGAATACGGCAACACCCATTTCAATGACAAAAGCCAGCATCATTGCAACAATCACAACTTTTGCAATAAAAATAAATGAGCTGACATTATTTGTGCTTCCATGCTGTTTCTCTCATCTTGCTCTATATATCATTTCTCTCTTTTTTAAAATTCCTGTTTATTTTTTTCCGTCTATCTCCTCGTCTCGCGTTGCCTCCAGTTCTCTCTGTTCTTCATTTTCTACGTCTGTTGTTTCGTCTAATAATTATCATGCTTCAACAGTAATGGCGAAGCGAAAAAGGGTTGTTTATGGTTATTTATGTATCTATAACACACACACACACACACACACACACACACACACACACACACACACACCACACACACACACACCACACACACACACACACATATATATATATATATATATATATATATATATATATATATATATATATATTTATATATATATATATATATATATATATATATATATATATATATATATATATATATTTATTTATTTATCTATAAACACGATCAAGAGAACAATATTGTAGCCTTGTAATTATATAGCACTATAACAACGCACACTTGAAAATTGAGAGCTGGACTAGGAGGCAGAACAGGGGATAGAGGAAGGGAAATGGAAAGGGAAGGGAAGGGAAGGGAAGGGGAAGGGGAAGGGAAGGGGAAGGGAGAGAGGGAGAACGGAAGGGAATGAGGGAAACAAAAGTTCGTTAATATTCCCCATACATTCCGTTCAGGGGAATTATGCCTGGGAATAATAGAGGCCGATTCTGATGTGGAAGTTCCTGTGCAATTAATGTGCAAAAAGTTACTTGACAAAATTTTTCATTTACGGAAATATGACGGGAACCTAATTAAATTTTCATGTTAATCAAAAAAAGAAAGTTATATACATTACATGTATGATTCTGCCTGTAAAAAAAAGAAAAGAAAAGAAAAGAAAAAAAAAAATGTTACAAGAAAAACATACGAAGATGGAAGTAGGACAGATGAATAATCATGAGATTTATTCTTTTTCCTAGAATTTTCGAGAAAAAAAAACTTTATTTCGTGCTCTTTAATTCCGCTCTCGCGTTGAACGACTTGCAATGACGAGATGTCTCAGAATCACAAGGAAGAATTCGAAAGTTACAAAACGAACATACACACACACACACACAACACACACCACACACACACGCACACACACACACGCACACGCACCACACACGCACACAGACACACACACTAACACACACACGCACACAGACACACACACACGCACACAGACACACACACACACACACACACTCACACTCACACACACACACACACACACACACACACACAACCACACACACAACACACAACACACACACACACACACACACACACACACACACACACACACATATATATATATATATATATATATATATATATATATATATATATATATATATATATATATATATATATATATATATATATATATATATATATATATATATATATATATATATATATATATATATATATATATATATATATATATACACTAAATCTACAATAGCATAATGGATATTTATTCCCTTATGCGGTCTTCTCACGCCGGCTTTCTGCATAGCTAATGCCTCGTAAACAAATGCCGGCCTTTTGGCATTCCGAGAGACGCCGAAGAGGGATCTGGCGGCCGCTGGAACCCATTGCTCGGCGGACCTGCGACCCGAGGCGACCGTACATACAAATATATAGGAGCCTCACACGCACGTATATACGCACTCACATCTATTTATATTTAGATGTGTGTGTTTGTGTTAGTGTTTGTGTGTGTATGTGTTAGTGTGTTTTGTGCGTGTACATGTATGTGTGTATGTGTGTGTTTGTTTGTGTGTAAGTGTGTGTTTGTTTGTGTATGTGTGTGTGTCTGTCTGTGTGTGTGAGTGAGTGTGTCTTTGTGTGTGTGTGGGTAGGTGGGTGTTTGTACTTGCGTGTGTGTAAACTTAAGTGTATAAATATAAGTGCACGTGTACATACACGAAGTACTGTGTGGGCATATCAATGCAACAAGTAAACATTCCTAGCGAAGACTTCCATAGCATACAAGTGGAAGCAATCTAGACTCACAAAAAAACTGAATAAAACAATCGAGTCTGGAATAAGTAAACAGTTAGCGAGCGCTGAAGGAGAGCCTACTCTAGCCAGCGCCCGGACCTACAATATAACCCGTTCAGGACTCAACTTGTGTCAACAGAAGCCATTAAACGTGGCACTCGCGGCACTGAAGGATGGGGATGGTACGAAGAAGGGGGGAGGAAGGGGGTAGAGGAGGGAGGGAGGAGGGAGTGGAGGGAGGAAGAGGAAGAAGGAGAAGGAGAAAGAGGAGAAGGAGAAGGAGGAGGAAGAGGTGGAGGAGAATAAGAAGGAGAAGGAGGAGGAGGAGTAGGAATAGGAGTAGGAGGAGAGGGTAATTGGCTTCGAAGAGAGGGAGAAGAGAAAGAAAAGAGGAGGGAATAGGGTTGCAAAAAGGAGGTGGGGAAGAAGAAGATAAGAGGGAGAGGGTATCCGAAGGAGAAAGGGAAAGGAAAAGGAAGACAGAGATGAAGGTGAGGTAGAGGAGAGGGAAGGGTGGAGAAACGACGAAGGAGAGAATGGCCGACGAATAGAAGGGCAAGGAAGAGGAAAGGAGAGAATAAGAGAAGAGAGAGCGAGCGACGGCGAAAGCATAAAAAAGGAATAATAGGTAAAGAAGGAACCGAAAAAAGAAGAAGAAAAAGAGGAGGAAGTGAGCGAACCAACGAAGAAAGACACACAGAAAAGGCAAGACAGAAGGAAAGAGAAGAGAACAGCTTAGAGGACGAAGAATGAATAAAGAGAGACGAAAGAGAAGAAAGGGTATGTTCCACGTTGTCCCCTTTTGTTCCAACAGCGAGTCCCACTGCCAGCGATCTGTTCCCCTGGCTTCCCGTTTCTCCCGACGCTTCCTGCTTCTCTTCTTCTTTCTGCTTCTCTCTTCTTCTGCTTCCGCTTCTCCCGACCCTTCCTGCTTCTCTTCTTCTTTCTGCTTCCCGTTTCTCCCGACCCTCCTGCTTCTCTTCTTCTTTCTGCTTCCGTTTCTCCCGACCCTTCCTGCTCTCTTCTTCTTTCTGCTTCCCGTTTCTCCCGACCCTTCCTGCTTCTTTCTTCTTTCTGCTTCCCGTTTCTCCCGACCCTTGCTCTCTTCTTCTTTCTGCTTCCCGTTTCTCCCGACCCTTCCTGCTTCTCTTCTTCTTTCTGCTTCCCGCTTCTCCCGACCCTTCCTGCTTCTCTTCTTCTTTCTGCTTCCCGTTTCTCCCGACCCTTCCTGCTTCTCTTCTTCTTTCTGCTTCCCTTCTCCGACCCTTCTGCTTCTCTCTTCTTTCTGCTTCCGCTTCTCCCGACCCTTCCTGCTTCTCTCTTCTTCTTTCTGCTTCCCGCTTCTCCCGACCCTTCCTGCTTCTCTTCTTCTTTCTGCTTCCCGTTTCTCCCGACCCTTCCTGCTTCTCTTCTTCTTTCTGCTTCCCGCTTCTCCCGACCCTTCTGCTTCTCTTCTTCTTTCTGCTTCCCGTTTCCCGACCCTTCCTGCTTCTCTTCTTCTTCTGCTTCCTTCTCCTTCCTGCTTCTCTTCTTCTTTCTGCTTCCGCTTCTTCCCGACCCTTCTGCTTCTCTTCTTCTTTCTGCTCCCGTTTCTCCCGACCCTTCCTGCTTCTCTTCTTCTTTTCTGCTTCCCGTTTCTCCCGACCCTTCCTGCTTCTCTTCTTCTTTCTGCTTCCCGTTTTCTCCCGACCCTTCCTGCTTCTCTTCTTCTTTCTGCTTCCCGCTTCTCCCGACCTTCCTGCTTCTCTTCTTCTTTCTGCTTCCGCTTCTCCCGACCCTTCCTGCTTCTCTTCTTCTTTCTGCTTCCCGCTTCTCCGACCCTTCCTGCTTCTCTTCTTCTTTCTGCTTCCCGCTTCTCCCGACCC